AGAAATTCAATGCCGTACCTATCAATATTCCAAGCTTGTTCTTCAAGAAAATAGAAGAGGCAATCCAAAAAGTCATATGGAACAATAAAATACCCCAAAGAGCAAAAATGATACTTAATAGAAAGAACAGTGCTGGAGGAATATGAGTACCAATTTTCAAACTCTACTACAAAGCCATAATAATAAAAACATCTTGGTCCTGGCACAAGAACAGTCCTCACAACAAAAGGAATAGAATTGAAAACCCAGAAATGAACCCACAGACCTATAGCCACCTAATTTTCGATAAAGGAGATAAAAAATAGAATGGAAAAAAGCCAACTTCTTCAGTAAATGATGCTGGCAAAATTGGTTAATCACTTTTAGAAAACCAAAGATAGATCCTTATATATCACCCTGCACAAGAATCAACTCCAAATGGATCAAAGACCTTGGAGTCAAGGCAGAAACCCTGAAAACATTACAGGTCAAAATAGGAGAAACTATAGATCTCCTTGGCATAGGCTGAAATTTTCTTAATAGAGATCCAGAAACACAACAAATCAAAGAGAGGTTAGACAAATAGGATTGCATAAAATTGCAGAGGTTTCTGCATGGCAAAGGCATAGCTAGCAATATCAATAGAGAGCCCACAGATTGGGAGAAGATCATCACTAGCCATACAACAGACAAGGGTCTCATATCTGAAATATACCTGGAACTCAAAAAATTTAATCCCCCAACAACAAATCCTCAAAGAAACAACTGCCCAATAAATAAGTGGGCTAAAGACTTACAGAGAAATTTCTCTGAAGAGGAAATTAGAATGGCCAATAGAAACATGAAGAAATGCTCTATTTCTCTAGACATAAAAGAAATGCAAATCAAAACAACATTGAGATTACACCCCACTCCAGTTAGAATGGCTATAATCAAAATCTCTAATCACAACAGATGCTGGAGGGGATGTGGATAGAAGGGAACTTTACTGCATTGTTGTTGAGAGTGAAAACTTGTTCAACCACTTTGGAAAGTAGTATGGAAGTTCCTCAAAAGACTCCATATAGAGCTCCTCTATGACCCAGCAATTACAGTTTTGGGCATCTACCCAAATGATCACAGACAAGGCAATACTAAAGCTATCAGCACAGTATGTTTATCACAGCATTATTTACCATAGTTAAGATATGGGACCCACCCAGATGCCTCTCAGTAGATGAATGGATCAAGAAAATGTAGCATATATATATATATATATATATATATATATATATATATATATATATATATATAGTGGAATTTTATGCTTCTATCAGAAATAATTACATTGCCCCATTTGTTAGGAAATGGAAAGACTTGGAAAAAATTATATTCAGTGAAGTAAGCCAAGCCCAAAGAAACATAGGTCCCACGGTTTACCTTATTTGCAATATCTAGTACATATGTAGGACAAACAGTAAAGGCCGAAAGCTATGTAAATATGACTGTATATGATGATGTTAAGTGAAATGCACCCCAAGATAGGGACACAAATATCTTTTTTCTTTCTTACTACAGTTTCTAATGTATTTATAATGTGCCATGTAATATTTTTGTTGCTTTGTATGTTCTCCCCTCATGGTATAACCCCTATTTTCACTGTATTTGTTGTCGTTGCCCTGCATCTTCTCTAATTCAGGAAGGAGAAGGGAAAAAACAAAATGCTTAAAAAAGGATACAAGTTGACCGATAGTAACAATGAGATGTACAAGACATTATGTTGAAAATGAACTTTACAACTTCGGCAGGGGGGTGTGGTAGTTGTTGAGGTGGGATGGAAGTAATGGTAGGGGGAAAACAAAGGAGGAGGCAAGTATGTAGTGATGATAAACTCTAGGGAGGAAGCCAGAGACAAAATGTTGTTAGTAGCTGTATTCTTTTCTGAAAGGATGCCCTTTCTCTGTCATGAGAATGACTTGTCACAGAGTTGAACTTTAAGCTGCAGCCTCATCCAGAGCTGAAAACAATACCCACCATTCTATGTCTTCTTCTTCCTGTAGAAAAAGACCCAAACCTCAGGGTTCTAGGGCACATCACAACACTTATGTCCTCTAGTGCTTGCCCATGTCCACACACACACACACACACACACACACACACACACACACACACACACACACACACACACACACTCATACACACACACACACACACACACACACACACATCAACTTGCTGAGGAAAATTATCCTCCCTTGAAACCAAAGCACTCTTACTTTCTGAGTTGGTCCTATGATATGAAGTTCAAACTGGAGTTGAGAACTTCATTCTGTCTAGATGAGTCTTTGAGGACTTCACACCTACTGAACTCTTCAGGATTTCTAGTGTTAAAGAGAATTCTCTATTTCCTGAAGCCCAGCAGAGCATGGGTTTCCTGATCATCTTAGGAAACTACGCTCAGTGCTAGAAATAACGCTTTTATGCTGTAGGTGCTCCATACATATGGACAACAAACCCCAGATATGTCTGTGTGACTAGAGTCTTCTCAGTCTGATCTCTGCTATCCTTGCTCTGTATATATCTAGGTTAGGAAATTTCTTCCAGATAGAATCTGGTATCCTCTTCATAAAAATGTCTCCCTTCTTTCTTGCCTCAGATAACTGAAGCTATATGCAGAGAATGTTATACTTATAAGGAAAGAGAGGCACAGAAAAGTTTCCACAGCTGTGGACAGCACACTCCACAGGACCAGCCTAAGCTAGCACCACCACTGTTTATGGACATGTGGTTCTGACATCAGCCAAAAAGGATGCTTCTCTGAGCACATACTTCACAAGCCTATTCCTTATGTTCTTCCTGCAGGTAAAGAGTCTCATGGTATCATGGTATTAGAATTGGCACTCACCTTTTGAACAGATAGTTCAGTATATGCTGGGTGTTAACTAACTTATGGTAGGTGTACAGAAAGGGTGGGCTGTGAAGTCAAGTTCTAGAACACCTTGTAAAAGACTTAACCCTGTCCAGGTGACAGTGACAATGTGTTGTACTGTGATATCCTAATGGCATTAGGGAAGACAAACTATACATACAATGATTCTAGGGGCATAGAGATACTCTATCTTTTACTCAAATAGCAGGTAAAATCTTTGTTGTACTATTCATTTTGAGCAGAAATGCCCTCTTTTTGCCATGAGTGTATGTGGACCATCTGCAATTATAATTCAATTCAATATCCCCTTAATTCTTACAAACACTTAATGGATGCATACTTCATCTTAGAAGATAATTCTTTTATTGTTATGGTAAAAGTGATATACAGATGGCTTACTGTTAAGTAAGTCAAGTAATAAATACATTTCTTTTTGAACAGCATCAACCCTACCCTTTCTTCCTCCATTTTTTCCATCCCAAACTTGCTCACGAGTTGTAGTTCATTTTCAAAATAGTGTCTAGTGATTATCTCTGCTGCATTTTGTCCTACAATTTCTATGCTCCCCCTTTACACTCCCCAAAAGAGTTAAACTTACATACAAGACAAAATGTACAGAAAATAAAAACAAGACAAAGAAAACATAAACAAAATATCGAAACCTTCATTTTCAAATCTTTGAATTCATTTCTATAAATATCATTTTATATACTCATATGCAATCACTTATTGGGATTCATGACCCTCTTTGGAATATCCTCCTTGGGTCTCACAGTGTGAATTATTGGAGTCCAGTATAATTTATCATGTGTTTTTTGTGTATTTTTTTTGTCTTTTTCCATCCAGTGTATTTTTTGTCTTTTATCATCCAGCTTGTTTACTTTTAACTTATATGAATATTCTAGTTAGAAAAAAGGAGGGAAACCATGCAACCTATGTCTCTGTTGGTATTGCTTAATTTACTTAATATAATTTTTTCCACATCTTTCCATTTCCTTCTGAATGGCACAGTATTATTCTGTCTTATGGAAGCATATAATTCCATTGTGTCCTTTCTTGATGCATTTGTCTTTTGTAGGGCTTTACTCAGAATCCTGGAAGCAATTGCTGGCTGCAGAGAGAGAGAGAGAGAGAGAGAGAGAGAGCCATGCCCCTGGGTGTAAAGACCCCACATGTGTACACACAAGGCCAGCCCATGTGCTGATTATATGCTTCCTTTCACCGAGGTTCTTTAGGCACACACTTGCAGCCATCTTCCCTGGACACCATGTCCAGGTACCAAGGATGCCCTATATTGTGAATGATCTTTGTTTTTCAGCACCCTGATGCTAAAGAGCTAAAACTTGGGATAAAGCACTACAATATGGACAAAAATGGAACATTTTGTTTAGGTAGTAACTTCCTGATTAAAACTCCAAATAGCTCAGTAAATAAGAACAAGAAATAACAATTGGGATTATATCAAACTAAAAACTTTTAGCACAACAAAGTAAACAATCAATAGATCAGGAACATTGTTGCTTCCTTAGGCAATGGTAAATGGATGCATTTGTAGAGACCTCTGTATATGGAATCTGGATTGTAACCTGCTTGAATCAACCAGAAATGTTCTGTAGCTGTTTTGGATAATAGGTGTGTGAATTTACCATCTGGGTATGATGCAATAATATCTTTCATTGACATCTCACTGGCATAATTTTTTTGGCCATTTCACCATGCACCTGAAATGGCATATTCTGATGCAATCCGGTTGCATCATCCCAAATAACTTTGATGCAAATAGTTCCTTGACACAGATATTAGAGCAAATACATCAAAGACAACTTCATCCCTGGGGCATCACTATCTGCGGTCCTGGAGGAAATTACACTACTTAGGATGAAGAAGGAGAATCTGCAAACATGTTTTCAACTCATGTTTTACTCTGCATTCAGGGCCGCAGATGCAGAGCACCAGGGAAGTTTTACCCATTCTTCCTGAGGATTCACAGAGGCTTTGATGAAAGGTGCACTACAGTGCACCTCTCTGTCAATAAAAAGACAGATAGACATGAATAAAAAGGTTTATGAATATATATACTTGACAGCCAGAATTTCACCTAGGCAGGTGAGTCATGGATGGAGATGTAATGATTGCTGGGTTTTTCCCTCTTTACACTTTGGGAACAAATCGCAGTCAAAGTGATGATTCTGGAGATGGACAGAACAAGCCGTAAGTAACATCATTGTATTTCAATTTACTAATTTGTTCTCAGGATGGGCAATGGTAACTCCAAGTGCACACATGAATGCTCTCTGTCTTCTCTACCCTGACATCCCATCCTTTTGCTAGAGAAACACCTCAGTTTCATTATTTTATCTTGTATCTACTTTTGAGTGGTTTTCTGCCTACAAGTAAGAGAGAAATCTAGTTTCCATCCGAGTATATTCTTCTTTCTATGATGGTAAGCTCTTCGTGATATTTACTTCAGTTTTATCTACCTTTTGATTTGTAGAACGTCCTCTTTGCTTGATTGATTATTGCTACTGTGTTTTCACACTCTATTTCCTTTCCTTTATGAATTTAATTTTAATATAAAGATGATTATAGAGAGGTTATAGTTATGTAAGTCAGGTAAGGAATACATTTCTTTTGGAACAATGTTACTCCTCCCCTTGTTTCCTCCCACTTCTTGATCTCCTGACTCCTCTTCTGCTCCAAGATGTAAAATTCATTTCCAAAGCAGTGTCTAGTAAGTATTACTTTTAAATTGGCACACCTTTTGTCTCACTGTTTCTACTTGATTATTTCATTCCTTTTAATAACTTGCAGAAGTTTTTACCATTTCCTATATTTTCTATAGCCATAGGTTTTTTTATTTTCTTTTATCATTATTATTTTATTTTCAATTTTTAAAAATTACATTGAAAAGATGATATACAAAGGGGTTACATAATTAAGCTAGTGAGTATGTTTCTTTTTGAACAGTGTCACTCCCTCCCTCATTCTCCTTCAGTTTCTCCTATCCCGACTACTCTCACTGACAAAGGGTATAGTTTCTCCCATATTGTCTAATGTGCATCATTGCTTAATTGTTTCACCTTTTGTCCCACCCTTTCTGTTTCCCATTCTCTTCCACACATTAGATAAGCTTATATGCAAAACAGAGGGTAGAGGAATAACAAACAGGACAAGAGGGGATTAAACCAAAGAAAAAGGGAAAGGAAAAAATGAAAAAAGAGGAAAAAGAAGAACAGAAAAGAGTACAATAAAAAATCACCTTGTTTCTAGTTCCTTCAGATGCAGTGCAGGTGCTTCAGCTAATTATCTGTTCTCTTTAATTATAGGAAAGGTTATGTTTTCCTTTTATTCCCCTTTTTCTATACCCATATGGTTTTCATTTTCATTTGTTCCAAGGAACAGTTTATTTCTTGAAATTTGCCTTGAAAACAATTCACTTTATCATGCATTAATCATGTAATTAAATTGAATACTCTTAATTATTATTTTACTACTTAATTTTGGTTAATGGATAATTCATGTAATTTTCTGGTTATATGCTTATTTTCCTTGTTAATTTCTTTTGGGGGGGGGTCCAGTCGTGGTGCCTGAACTCTGGGCCAGGGCTCTGTCCTTCAGCTCTTCAGCTCAAGGCTAACACTCTACCACTTAAGCTACAGCACCACTTCTGGCTTTTTTCTTTTTGCATATGTGGTGCTGAGAAATCGAACCCAGGGCCTCATGCATGCAAGGCAAGCGCTCTACCACCAAGCCACGTTCCCAGCCCCTTCCTTGTTAATTTCTATCCTTACTATATGTGTTTGTATATATGCTCAATATACTTTGAACATTTTTAAAATCTGGATGGCTTTGTGTCCCATCCCATGATTGTTTGTTTGGAGAGAAGTTTTACTCAGAAGTTGAATGAGGTGTTCTGCTGGTGTATGTAAGGATCTTCTGATCAAGTGTGAAATTTAACTCTACTGCTTCCCTGTTGATTTTGTCTGAATGATCCATTGATAAAATCTTCACCTACTATTATATTGAGGACTATCAAAGTCTGCTTAACATAGTTTAGTGATTGTATAATATGTAAATACACATTTTGAATTGCTACTTCATCTTGTAAATTTGATATCTTCATCATTACATTACAAAATGTCACTTCATTGCTTTGATTAAAGTCTATTGGATATGTTATAGACACTCCTACTTTCTTTTGTATTTCATTTGTATTTACTGAACTTTCTTATACTCACTGAGGGCCATTGATGGTGAAGGGAGTTTCTTGGCATCAACGTTTCCTTTGGCCTTGAGTTTTTATTCATTCAGCCATTTTAGCTTTTACAGGTAGAATTACATGCATTTACCTTTGCAGTCATTGTTGACAGGTCAGAGCTCCTTATTGCTATTATGTAATTTGTTCTCCATGTTAATTGAAGTTTCTTCCACTTTTTCTCTCCTTCAGTGGTTATGAAGGAAGTTCAATAGTAGTGTCTTTTGATTACTGGATTACGAGCTTTCATTTGCTGTTATATATTTTCTGGTAATTACTGGGCTGAAAATAGATGACAGGAAGCTATTTTGGAATAACAACTATCTGGGATGAGGAGGATGTAATAAAAACAGAAAATAAACATACAAGCAATAGAGGGCTATGATCAAAGTCCATAAATGAATGTTCAGAAATGTCATAATGAAATCTTTTAATTTAATTTTAAATTAAATCTTTCATTTAATATATTAAGATGAAATGTTAAAGACAAACAGGAACTGCAACTGCATTATATTCCTCTTATCATTTGTAATAGTGGATATCCAATTTTATATTCTACAGTAATTACAAGATATAATTATATTAACAATTTTTCTCTCTGCATAAAAGTTGTGTGTGTGATTTTGCTAGCACATTTACAATGTTAGAGTATTTTCAACAAGTTTTATAGCCCCTTTGCCTAGTAGGTTTTATACATTCTTGAACATTTTTATTACTCATCAATGGTTCAATCTTTTGGACAGAATGCTTTTCTGTTAACTATGTAAAAATAACTGTTTATTTTTGTATACAGTGGTTCCATAAACATTTAGCATTTCACATTTAAAAACTTCTTCAAACAGCTGTCTACCCCATTCTGATTTTCTCACAAAGTGGTCATGTTACATGGGCATTAAATTTGGCTGACATTAGAATAGTTTTTTTTTTTTTTTTTGTGGAACAGGTGTGTGGGAGTATATTCTTTTAATTGTACTTGTCTGGGAATATCTTTACCCTTTTATCCTTGACTTCTAATGGATGTCTTTGCTGGCAACAGTAATCTTGGTACACAATTTATCCATTTTTGTCCCTAATATTTTAAAGATTGTCTGCCATGCTCTCCAGGATTCTATGGATTCTACTGAGGAGTCAGCCATTAGGAAAACAGAGAAATACCTATGTGTTATGAGTTCCATTTGTAGCTTCTGTACAGACTATGTGTTGTGGTCAAACATTTGATTAAGCTTTCATCTCTAGATATCTCATATTTCTATCATTGTCTACATTAGGAAATTTAAATTCTGCCATTGCTTTTTAGAACAAGCATTTTAACTTTTTGTCATTCTCAACCATTTACTAAATCCTCAATACATTAATATTTTCTTTTTCAAAATAGTGTTGTCAGCTTTTGACCAATCATTTTCCACATGTCTTCATTCTTACTTTCAGGTTCCTCCTACATATGCATATGTTCAATTAGACTTTATTCAAGCTTACTATTTGTTTCTGTTTAGAAGACATCATTAACATGATAGGCTTCCAAATTGAAATTTCAAATATGTGTACACCATGTGTTAAACAAGTTAAGCCTCACATTTGAATTTCTTTCTTGCCTCCATTATTTCCTTTTAAAACAATATGTATTGATTCAATATTATTTCTTTAGAATGTGTGTGTACACATACTCACACCATTGCACAGACATAACAGAGAGAGAGAGAGAGAGAGAGAGCAAAGTGTTGATTCTCTTTATTCCTCTGTAGTCTTTCTAGAATCTCAAAATAACAATATTGGGAAGGTAATAGAGATTACTGCATTTTACAATGGTGGCCTTGAATCTTTGGATTTCAATGTAAAGCTTACAATTCTTTCATTACTTTTCATGTTGGAGATTTCTTTCTCCATTATGATGTGCTTGCAGTTAGATTCATCCCGCTTGTTTTATTACATAAATAAGAATAAAATTCCTTCACCTGGTATTTGAGCTCTCTTCTGGCTGATATTGTAGGAAGAGCTGTTCAATATGTCAGGTCTGTTAGTTAGAGAAACTTAATATAGAATCTTCCTTAAATGACTATTGAAGATGTATTACTTAGCCCAGCCTGCCTTATAACCACATAAGATAAACTGGGTGACCGAAAACACACAATTTTTCACACAGTGGAGCTAGTTACTCTAATTATCTTCGCAAGAGAATAATTTGGTGTCTCATGAAAGACTATTCCATGTTTAATGGGCAACATTAGTGTTTGCTGTGGTGCATGTGATAATGGGGAATAAGCAAGCTCTCTCTTAAGTTTCTTAATCTTATGCATGACAAATTCCCTTCATGTCCTTAATCCCATAGACAACCATAAAAGACTATATTTGCATTCCATCATAGTTGGGACAATGCTTTAACATATTCATTGGCAGAGAAGCAAGTATTTAGTCCATCAAATTGATAAGTTTTAAATTTCTATGCTCATTATGCAGGTTTATCTTCAACACCTACCAGTTTGTTTTGGCCTTGGCTTTTGCTATTGAAGAGATCAATGAAAATCCTCATAATTTACATAACTTGATGCTAGGATTTAATATCTGTAATGCTCACATGGAAGCTTGGAAAACATTTAAAAATCCCTTCACGAGCCTTTTTGGGAAGGACAACCTTCCAAACTACTCCTGTGTGAGAGTGAGCAAGTCTATAGCAGTACTGACAGGACCATCGGGATTATTATCTGCCCAGATTGGTATATTGCTGAACCTGTACAGGTTTCCCCAGGTGAGAGTGGGAGGAGTGAAGGGATATAAAGAAGTATCTAATTTGGTGCCATTTCAGCTGTTAGAAGATAATTATAGGAAGATACTGGATTTATGAACCTATCAAATTTTGTGATATCAAAGAGTAAGTATTCAAAGTAATAAAGATCCACACTTCCATTTTTAGGAAAGGGACTGGAAAAGTTAGAGCCACAAAGAGATTGTTTGGACTTTTAAGCCTTGTCAATAATTTTCTTAAAAAATCAGGAAATGGAAAAATTACTTTAAAGTATAGCAATATGTTGAGATGTGTCCTGATGGCTAACTGCAAACCTAGCTACTAAGGAGACATCTCTTATTAACCAAAAAAAGCAGGAAGTAATGTGTGGTTTGAGTGATAGAGAGGTAGCTTTGAGGGAGAAAGCCAAGGAAGTGCACGAGGCCTTGAGTTCATGCCCCTATAATAGTACACACACACACTCACACACACACACACACACACACACACACACACACACACACACACTCACACACACACTCACACACACACACGTGTGCGCATGCACGTAAGATATTATGTTGAATGATGTAACTCAGACTCACAAAGGGAAAGGGGCATGTGTTCTCTCATATGTGAAAGTTAAATCTAAAATATGAACATGTAATATAAAATAAATATAGGACACACACATATCCGTTTACAAATATATTTGATTAATCTGTAAACTATGGTACACATAGAGGTGGAATCCCATGGTATAACATTTCTGATCAACTAAGAGATATAAAACACTAACACTAGAACATTGAAGCATAACTTGTCTGGGGAGAGTTGTTAGATGTGCAAAGGGGCAGAGAAATATGGAGTAGATGTGTGGGAAAATACAACATATCACATATATGTATGTATATGTCTATATATAGATATTTAGATATATATACATATTCAGATGTGTGTGTGAAAATGGACCTAGGAAAGTCAAGGAATGGGTAGATTTGCTATAGATTGAATGAGTTGATGGAAATAGTGATAAAGATCAAGGAGCTTTGTAGGAACAAATTGAAATGTACAACTATTAAAAGCAATTTTTTAAACTAAGAAAAATCTATCTTCCACCTACTTCAAATGGTTATTTAATACATATCATAAGTGAGATCATAATGGATAGAAATCTTCTCATTCATGGAGCATCCAATTTTCATTCCCTTTAGCTTACATTTGGGCCTTTTGATCATGCTCTGAGTGACCATAAGAACTTTCCTGCTGTGTATCAGATGGCCTCAAAGGACACATCCATAGCCATTGCCCTGATCTCCTTACTCCTTCATTTCATCTGGAACTGGGTTGGACTATTGACCTCACAAGATGAGAATGGCTTGTGGATTCTTCCTGAATTGAAAGAAGAGATGGACAAGAATAGAATTTGTGTAGACTTTGAGCTAGCAATCCCAACCTCGGGCTTGGCATATGTTTTTAAGTCATGGCACTTTATAAACAGATTAATAAATCTTCAGCAAACGTCCTCATCATACATGGTGATAATGAAGCCTTACTAGATATGGTAAGATGTATTGAGCAATTTTTAGTAAAAGGAAAAGTTTGTATCATGAACTCACAGCTAGAGTTCACCATGAGGAGGTAATATTTTGTACTAGGTTCATTACATGTACCTCTCATTTTTTCACACCATCATCCAGAGAATTTGGGATTCACAGATTTTGTCAAGGCAGTTAACCCTTTCAAATATCCAGAAGACTTTTTCCTTGCGAGGCTATGGTTTCTGTCTTTTAATTGTTCAGATTCAGAGTCAGACTGTGTAACGTGGGAGAACTGTCCTCACGAAGCCTCCTTGGATTTGTTGCCTGGACACATTTTTGACACGACTGTCTGGAGACAGTTACCATATATACAATGCTGTGTATGCTGTGGCCCAGGCTCTCCATGAGCTGCTTCTTCATCAAACAGAAGCACAAACAGTGGGAAAGAGGGAAGGGGCAGTGACTTCCCCTGCACAGGTAAGGCCTTCTGTGTTAGATGACATACCCCATAGGCAATGTCACTTCCTAGATAGTTTTCAAGCCATATAAAATTTAAGCATTTTAGGTATGTTTTCCAAAAAGCAACAAATAATATTTGTTTAAATGTCTGTGAAGTACTCTGGACGTATTTTTGTGCTCTTCAGGAAAAGCAGGCCATAACAAGGATCAAGTGAGTTCCATGTTTCATAAATTCTTTTAGTTACAAATAGCCTCAACATATTCATAACAGATAGTTTTCCTTGTTTTTTATTGTCAAGATGATATACAGAGCGGTTACAGTTACACAAGTAAGATAGTAAGTACATTTCTTGTCAAACTTGATACCCCTTCATTCATTTTTCTCTTACTTTCCCTACCCCTCCCCCTAAAATTGTACAGATCATTTCCAAAATATTGTCTTGTATATATTGCTGTTGCATTGGCCCCTCCCTTATAGCAGATGTTTTGAAAAGTATAAATGCACCTTGATTTTCCCTATGAGTTTCTTATGTAATAGCAAAGGATGACCTGCTGAAAAGAATTATCCACATTTTGCATGAGGGACCTAGTTTTATTCTACTTTAAATATTAAAATTTTACCAAGTTCATATTAGCAACATGCATAAAATTAGTGGTTGTAGGAAACACTGGCTAGACCACTGAGAGTCATCTTATTTGTGACTCTCTAGACTTGGTTTCTTTTGAAAAGATTGCATCTACCCCTTTGTTGAATGACCAAGATTTGGCAAAATTATTTTTATTCCTCCATAGATTTTCTTCTGGAATGCTTCATTAGGTGGATCTACTATTCTTTCATTCTACATCAAAATTTAAAGGCAATTAGGAAATTTTTTTCTTCAGGTTTTCTGTCTTAACTCGGGATGTACTTCACCATAAGATGATGTATGTCTTTTAGCTGCACTCTTTTCTGAAGAACATCCAGTTTCACAATGCTGCTGGAGATCAAGTGACTTTGGATGACAAAAGGAAATTGGAAGCAGACTATGACATTGTAAACATATGGAATTTCCCAGAAGGTCTTGAACTTGAGGTGAAAGTAGGAAAGTTTTCTCCATATGCTCATCAAATGTCTTTATCTGAAGATATGGTACACTGGGCCATAGGAAATACAGAGGTGGGTTGGGTTTAATTGCAATGATTTTAAGGACATATAAGTAAGAAAATTTCAGCCTTAAAATGTATATCTGGTTGGATGACATATAAGAAAATTTCAGCCTTAAAATGTATATCTGATTGGATGCCCGCAACCTATTCCTGTAATACTAGCTAACTAGGTGACTGAGATACAAATATTATGGTTGGAAGGCAGTCTAAGCAGAATCTTCTCTGAGATGCTTATTTTCATTTAACCACCAATAAAGCAGGGCTGGACACTAGTGACTCATGCCTGTAATCCTATCTACTCAGGAGAAAGATATCCTCAGGTCTAAGATTACGTATCTGTTGAAAGTCCAACTGGGCAGAAGAGTCTTTGAGACTCTTTTCTCAATTGACCATCAAAAACCTCAGATGGAACCTCAGGTCAAATGGTAGAGTGCTTATCTTCAGGAGAAAAAAGCCCTTGGAAAATGAACATGTACTTATATCAAACCCTGGGACTAGGACAAAAAAAAAATAGACATTCACAGTCTCTAAATGGGGATTTAGAATAGTGTCATAAAATGCATATTTCTTTTTTTATTTTTTATTTTATTTTATTTTTTTTGTGAACATACTGTAGAGAGGGGTTACAATTACGTGGGCAGGATAATGCATACATTTCTAATCAAGCATTGCAGCCTCCTCCTTTGTTTACACTTCACATCCCTTCCCAGCCTCTCCCCTACCTCTCCACCAAATCCACCCTCCTTCCCCCCGTCCCACACCAACGCTGTAAAGCTCGTTTTCGATATGACAACTTGTACTTCTCATTGTTGCAACAGGTCCACCTGTACCCTTAAACGACTTGTTTTTCCCATTCCCTTCCACAAGTTATACTGACATCAAATATAGTGAAAGCAGGGGTTATACTGTGGGGGAGGGACATACAAAGCAACAAAGAGATAACCTTATAAATGCTTTAGAAATGCATGAAAGAAAAAAAACATTAAAATAAATATCTAAGGGTTCATTTTCCTAACATCACATTATCTGACCTTTTCCGATCGACTCATACATATACTAGATATTGCAAATAAGGGAAACCATGGGACTTATGTTTCCTTGGGCCTGGCGTACTTCATTTAATTTTTTCCAAGTTTTTCCATTTCCTAACAAATGGGGCAATGTCATTCTTTCTGATGGAGGCATAGAATTCCATTGTGAATATGTACCACATTTTCTTGATCCATTCATCTACTGAGGGGTATCTGGGTTGGTTCCATATCTTTGCTATGGTAAATAATGCTGCAATAAACATAGTTGTGCTGGTAGCTTTAGTGTGGTCTTGTTTGTAAACATTTGGGTAAATGCCCAAAAGTGGGATTGCTGGGTCATAGGGGAGTTCTATGTGAAGTCTTTTGAGAAACCTCCATACTGCTTTCCAAAGTGGTTGAACAAGTTTACATTCCCACCAACAATGAAGTAAGGTTCCCTTCTGTCCACATCCCCTCAAGCATCTGTTGTTGATTTTTGCCATTCTAACTGGAGTGAGGTGGTATCTCAATGTTGTTTTGATTTGCATTTCTTGTATGGCTAGGGACGTTGAGCATTTCTTCATGTGTCTATTGGCCACCCTTCTTTCTTCTTCAGAGAAGTTTCTCTTTAAGTCATTAGCCCACTTATTTATTGGGCAGTTGTTTCTTTGAGGATTTGTTGTTGGGTGTTTTAATTTTTGATTTCCAAGTATATTTTATATATGAGAATCTTGTCTGTTGTATGGCTAGTGAAGATCTTCTCCCAATCCGTGGGCTTTCTATTGATCTGGCTAGCTATGTCCTTTGCCATGCAGAAGCTCTGCAACTTCATGCAATCCCATTTGTCCAACCTTTCTTTGATTTGTTGTGTTTCTGGGTCTCTATTCAGAAAATTTCGGCCTGAGCCAAGGAGACCTAGGGTTTCTCCTATTCCATCCTGTAATGTTTTCAGAGTGTCTGATTTGACTTCGTGGTTTTTGATCCATTTGCAGTTGATTCTGGTGCAGGGTGATATATAAGGATCTAGCTTTAGTTTTCTACAAGTAGTTAACCAATTTTGCCAGCACCATTAACTGAAGAGGCTTTCTTTCTTCCATTCTATTGTTTTAGCTCTCTTATCGAAGATTAGATGGCTATTGGTCTGTAGGTTCATTTCTGGGTTTTCATTTCTATTCCATTGGTCCTGAGGTCTGTTCTTATGCCAATACCAAGCTGTTTTGATTACTATGGGTTCATAGTAGAGTTTGAAATTTGGTATTGATATTCCTCCAGCAGTGTTCTTTCCGTTGAGGAGCGTTTTTGCTATTTGGGGTCTTTTATTGTTCCATATGAATTTTTGGATTGCCTCTTCTACTTCCTTGAAGAGTGAGGTTGGAATTTTGATAGGTATCGCGTTGAATTTATAGGTAGCCTTGGAAAGAATTGCCATTTTCACGATGTTAATCTTTCCAATTCAGGAGCATGGGAGGTTTTGCCATTTTCTAAATTCTGTTTTGATTTCCTTTTTCAAGATTTTAAAGTTTTCATCATGGCAATCCTTCACTTCTTTGGTTAAGTTAATTACTGGGTATTTTATTTTATTTTTTGTGGGGCTATTACAAATGGAGTTGCTTTCCTAATTTCACCCCACTTTTCTCATTGTTGGTATACAGAAAAGCCATTGATTTTGGGGGGTTAATTTTATACCCTGCTACTTTGCCAAAGTTTTGAATCAGCTTGAGTAATTTGGGAGTGGAGTCTATGGGATTCTTTAAATATAAGATCATGTCATCTGCAAAGAGGGAGAAGTTTATTTTTTCTTTCCCTATTTGGATCCCTTTTATGTCTGCATATTGTCTTATTGCTGAATCTAGGCAATCTAATACTAGATTGAAGACAAGTGGAGATAGTGGACCTCCTTTTCTTGTTCCTGAGTTTAGAGGAAATGGCTTTAGTTTTTCACCATTAAGTATAATACTGGCTGTAGGTGTGTCATAGACAGCCTTTATTGTATTGAGGAATGTTCCATTGATTCTTAATTTTTCCAAAACCTTCATCATAAAGGAGTGTTGGATCTTGTCTAATGCTTTTTCTGCATCTATTTAGATAACCATGTGATTCTTATTCTTGCTCCTGTTTATGTGATGAATAATATTAATTGATTTGCGTATATTGAACCAGTTTTGCATCCCTGAAATGAATTCTGTTTGATCCAGGTGTATAATTTTTTGGATGAATTGTTGAAGTCGATTGGCCAAAATTTGTTGAGAAGTTTTGCATCAATGTTCATCAAAGAAATGGGTCCATAGTTCTCTTTCTTTGATGAGTCCCTGCCTGGTTTAGGGATGAGTGTGATGATGGCTTTATAGAAGGTGTTGGGTGGTGAACTTTCTCTTTCAATTTCATTGAAGAGTTGGAGGAGTATTGGTGTGAGCTCTGCTTTGAAGGCCTTGTAAAATTCCACTGTAAAACCATCTGGTCCTGGACTTTTCTTAGCTGGGAGGTCTCTTATTGCTGTTTCTATTTCAATGCTTGATATGGGCCTGTTAAGATGGTTTAACTCATCTTGGTTTAGTTTTGGCATGTCAATATTTGCTAGGAAAAGGTCCATTTCTGTCAAGTTCTCAAACTTATTAGCATAAAGTTTTGAGAAGTATTCCCTTATAATGTTCTGAATCTTGGTTGTTTCCGTGGTGATGTTTCCATTCTCATCTCTGAGTTTATTTATTTGGGTTTATTCTCTTCTTTTTCTGATAAAATTCCCTAAGTGTCTGTCAATTTTGTTAATTTTTTCGAAGAACCAACTCTTTGTTTTGTTGATTCTTTCTATATTTTTTTTTGCTTCTAATTCATTTAATTCTGATTTAATTTTAATTATTTCTTTCCGTCTACTGGATTGGGGTTTATCTTGCTGCTCTTTTTCAAGGAGGTTTAGATGTGTCATTAAATTCTTGGTTGTAGATCTTTCCAATTTGTTGATGTAGGAGCTCAGAGCTATAACTTGCCTCTGAGTGCTGCTTTGCTGTGTCCCAGAGGAGCTTGTAATTTATGTGTTCATTTTTGTTGAATAGCAGGAACATTTGAATTTCCTTTTTAATCCCTTTCATGACCCACTCGTGATTCAACAGTGTGTTGTTCAGCCTCCATGTGATACAGGACTTTCCTTAGTGGCGTTTGGTGTTGAGTTCTAATTTTATTTCCTTGTGGTTAGAGAGAATGCAAGGTACAACTTCAGTGTTTCTGAATTTAGACAAGTTTGCTTTGTGGCCTAAAATGTGGTCTATTTTAGAAAATGTTCCATGTGCTGCTGAGAAAAATGTGTATTTTGATGCTGCTGGGTGAAAGATTCGGTAGATGTCAGTTAAATTTAGTTGATCTATGCAGTTGTTTAGATCTCCGGTTTCTCTGTTGAGTTTTTGCCGAGTTGATCTATCTAGTGGGGAGAGTGGTGTGTTAAAATCCCCAACAATTAATGTCTTTGGATCTATATGCGATTTGAGGGAAAGTAGTGTTTCTTGGATAAATTTGGGTGCTCCATTGTTTGGAGAATACATATTTAGAATTGTAATATCCTCCTGAAAGAGAGATGCCTTAATTAGTATGTAGCGAACGTCTGTATCTCTTTTCACGAATTTTAATTTGAAGTTCATTTTATCTGGTATTAGGATTGCAACTCCCGCCTGTTTTATGGGGGCCGTTGGCTTTGTAGATTTTGTTCCACACGTTGAAAATGTGTTTGTTTTTACGGGCTAGAATGTGACTCCTGAAGGCAACAGATAAAAGGGTCTTGTTTTTTAATCCAACTAGACAGTCTATGTCGCTTAATTGGAGAGTTAATCCGTTAACGTTAAGATATAAGACTGAGAGGTATTTGGGATTCTGCCATGTTATCCATCTTCTTGGGGGCTGTGAAAACTGGGTTCTTCCTATGGTTATTGGATTCTCAGTTTGGGTGCAGTTTCTTGGCCTTTATTGTTGTCTTGTTGGTTTTCTATGTGTAGGACATCTTTAAGAATCTTTT